AAAAGTTGTCTTGTTTTTCTTAGTCACAAAATGGCCACCATAGTACATCCTAATGTTAATCGACCACTACTAGAAATAGGCCGATTTCCGACGGACATGTTTTTCCGTTGTAAATTCCGACGGATTTTTATTCCGTCGGAATTTATGGGCTTTCCGACGGACTATTCCGTCAGAAACTTAATGTTTCGACGGAAAAGATATCCGACGGAATGTTCCGTCGAAACATTTATTTTCCGGCGGAAATAAAATCCGTCGAGAATTTCCAACGGAATATTCCGTCGGAAAATTAATTAAATAAAAAAAAAAACCTAACAAACCCTAATAAAAATCCGGTTAACCCCTCTTATTTCCCCTCTCTCTTCTTCTCTTCCCTTTCTCTCTCCTCTCTTCTTCTTTCCTCTCAGATTTCTCACTCTACTCCTCTCTGTTCCTCTTCTCTTCTCCTCCCTTTCTCTCTCCTCTTCCCAATCTCAATTTCTCTCCTTCCTCTTCTCTTCTCCAACCTTTCACTCTCCTTTTCGATCTCTTCTCCCCTTTCACTTTCCTCTTCGATCTCCTACCACCATCAACGAACACCCAAGATCAACGTCAACACCGAGATCAACGCCAACACCGAGATCAACAACAACCACCAACACCGCACAGCAACGGCGCAACAAAAGCCACTGTCGCAACAACACGGTTTTATATATTTCTTAGATCGTAGATCTAGCCTTTTTTTTCCTTTTAAATTCTGATTTTAGTTAATTATTGATGTCATTGTAATGTTAATGTATAAATTTTGTTAAATAATTGTATAATTATATATTTCTTTGAATTGATTTTGGTAATTTTCGTTGTTTTTTTATGATAATTTCTTTTTTTTTTTTTAGAATTTTTTTCTTTTTGGTTAAATTCTGGTGGTGGTTTCGATTTGGTGTGGGTGGGGTTTTGGTTGGGGTGGTTTCGGTTTGGTGTGAGTGGGGTTTTGGTTGGGGGGTCTGGGTGGGGTGGGGTCCGTGGGTTATTAGGTGGGTCTGGGTTTGGTTTGGTTTGGTGGGTCTAGGTTGGGTGGAGGTGGTATAGTGGTGTGAGGTTAGGCGTGGTGCTGGGTGTGGGTGGGTTGGAGGTGGTTAGGCGTGGTGGTGGGTGTGGGTGGGTTAGGTGGGAAGTGGTGGCTGGACAGAGCGGGGTAGGGTGGTTGGGGTGGTGTTGGATTTTTTTTTTATGTTGTTTCCGACGGATTTGTATCCCGTAGGAAATTTCAGACAGACTTTCCGGTGGCCGGAACTCCTCTTCCAATGAGAAAATTCCGTCGGAAAACACTGTTCCGACGAAAAAGACCCTTTTTCCTACAAATTGTTTTACGACAACCTATTCCAAGGAAATTTCCGTCGGAAAACCCATTTTCCGACGGAATTCAGGGTGTTTCCGACACTACTAGAAAACAGGTCATTTTCGACGGAAAATTCCGTCGGAAACACCCTAAATTCCGTCGGAAAACACTGTTTCGACGGAAATTCCGTTAGAACAAGTTGTCGTACACATGTTTGTAGGAAAAACGGTATTTTCCATCGGAAATTCCGTCGGAACAGTGTTTTTTCGACGGAATTTTCTCATCGGAAGAAGTGTTCCGGCCACCGGAAAGTCCGTCGGAAAATTCAGACGGAATTCAAATCTGTTGGAAACTTCCGACGGAATTTCCGTCGGAATCTGCTACAAAAAAAATAAAAAAAAACGCCCTGCCACCTCCGGCACCACCACCCCCACCCAGACCCCCCCTCCCCACCCAGACCAGACCCACCCTCGTAACATCAACCACCACCTTAACCCACCACCTTAACCACCACCTTAACCCACCACCTTAACCACCACCTTAACCCACCACCGTTACCCACCACCTTAACCCACCTAACCTTAACCCACCAGACCCCACTTCACCACCAACCAAAACCCTCTAACCCAAACCATAACCCCCCACGCCTAACCACACCCAGAACCCCCCCCCCCCACCCAGACCACCACCCACACCCAGACCCCCCTACCCACCCAGACCAGACCCCCTCTCCCAGACCAGACTCCCCACCCACCCTAACCAAAACTAACAAAATCGAAAAAAAAACCCCAAATCGAAAATTAACAAAAACTAAATCGAAAATTAACAAAAACCAAATCGAAAATTACAAAAAAAATCCATAACACCCAAATCGTACAATAAATTCAGAGATCCGAAAAAATACACAAAAAAATTGAAATCAAACAAAATAAATATATATACAATTGTATTATGAAATTAATAAAACAATTACAATGTGTCGTCGTTGTTGGTTGTCGTTGCTGCTGGTGTCGTTGCGGTGGTAGGTGGTGTTGTCGTTATTGCTGCTGGTCTAGTGGTGGTCGAAGAGGACGAACAGGAGATGGAGCGTGAGATGAAAACAGAATACAAAGAAGGAGAAGGAAGGAGAAGAAAGGAGAACGAAAATAAAGGAGAAAGAGAAAGGAAAGAAAAGGAGATGGAGTGTGAGATGAAAACAGAAGAGGAAATAGAAGAGAGAGAAAGAGAAATGAGGGAAGAGTGGCGAACAGAAGAAGATGAGAGGAGAGAGAAATTTATTAGGGTTTTTTGGGGTTTTAGGTCTGTTTTTTTATTATTTAATTATATTCCGATAGAATTTTCTGTCGAAACATTAAGTTTCCAACGAAATATTCCGTCGGAAATTTCCGACAGATTTCATTTCCCGTCGAAATTTATGGACTTTCTGACAGAATATTCCGTCGGAAAGTCCATAAATTTCGACAGAATGTTATTCCGTAGGAAATCCGTCGTTAATTTCCTACGGGATAAAATTCCGTCGGAATTTACGACGTCGGAACTGGTCTGTCGTAAATCGGCCTATTTCTAGTAGTGCGACTCCATGAATTTAAACCAAGGTTTAAACACATTTACTCTACCATTAAACCTGACAAACACACCAAACAAAACAAAATCGAACATATTCAACAATTTAGGGCAACAATTCAACAATTCTACTCAACAAAAAATTCAACAATCCATCAAAGTTTCTAGGTTATATTAAGCATCACACCACAAAATCACCAACATCATGCAACAATCAGGTTAATTAGGTTGCTTTTTTTGTCGAATTAATTTTTTAAACCAACCAATTTCACGCATTTTATGCAATTCACAACGATATTGAAGAGCAATCCATCAAAGTTTCTAGGTTATATTAAGCATCACACCACAAAATCACCAACATCATGCAACAATCAGGTTAATTAGGTTGCTTTTTTTGTTCAATTAATTTGTTAAACCAACCAATTTCACGCATTTTATGCAATTCACAACAATATTGAAGAACTTACCTGGGTTTGTACTTCACTCAGTCTTTAGGAAACCTTGATTTGCGTCCAAACGACCCATTTCTTCCTCCTTTAGCCATTGACAACAGTGAATACGTGAGTTTCCTACTTGTGTTAAAAAAGCCCCAATTTTATACTACTTCCAGTAATAAATTGATGATTATAAACTTACCTTACTTTATGGTTGAAGTATTAATGGCGTGCAGCACAGGAGAGAGAGAGAGAGAGAGAGAGAGAGAGAAACCCAAATTGATGTGATGGAAATACAGAGCATTCATGGAAGAATGAGAGAGAGAATACAGGGGCAAGAGTTTGGAGGAAAAATAAGAGGGAAAAATAAGAGGGAGTGCAAATATAAAAACAATTGGGTGTAAGTAGGGAAGTAATGAGTCAACGCCTGAAAGTTAGAGTCAATGCCGGAAAAGAGGGCATAGGTTTCATTAAAAAAAAAAACAAGTGATGGTGGTGGTTTTTTTAATAAAGATCCTTTTAAAAGGTTTTTTCTTACAAAATGAGGCATTTAAAAGGGTTTTTTTTTTTTTTTTTTTTCAAATTTTCCTTTATGTTATTTCCTCTTTCTTCTTTTGTTCACTTCTCTCCTCTGCTCAAGGCTTTTCAGTTTCTCTTCCGCCATTGTTTCGACTTGAGGATTAATTAATCTTCTGATGAAATCGATCTAAATGCAGGTAATATTTTTCTAGTAATTATTATACTTTATTCTTTTTTTGCATTTTTCATTACACATATTACAAATCATTGAGGATCAATTGAAATTAAGGTAATTCATGTTTTTAATTGAATTCTAGGGTTTATATTGAATTGTACTTCATAATTTTTTTTTTGTATTAGTATTAGGCTTTACAGTGGATTTTGCAATTTGTGCAAATTTTACTTATATTCACCTTTTAATTTAAATTACAGGGTTCATACCATGTTGTGGATTTTACTTTGATTCGTCTTTAGACTCACTTTTTAGGGTAGGCGTGATTTGATTTTTCTTTGGATTAACAATAACATCCAAAATTGAACTTAAAGATGAGGCAAGTGGAGTCGGAGATACATTGTTCTTTGAATTTTAGATCATTGTTCTTGATATAATATAGTATCTAGTGCTCATAATGAATTAAATCCCTCCACTATATTACAATCCGAGACATTTCCTTATTCATTTGAGGCGTTTCTAATCGTTTCTAGGCATGCACAAGCATAAGCTCAATAGAAAAGTGGGGCGAACAAAAAGGGTTGTACTTAAAACTCTACTTTGTTTGATCTCATGTTCATTGCGATATATGTCCTCCACTCTTTTTTAGTTGATCTATTTTGACTATTGCCTTATTCATGCACTCAACTTTGACTACCTTTTGTGATTTATATATAAAGAGATTCAGAATCATAGACCAGTTGAGTTGGACAGAATAAGGAAATTGCATCAAAAAATTAAAACAAATTCGCCCACCGTGGGGCTCGAACCCACGACCACAAGGTTAAGAGCCTTGCGCTCTACCAACTGAGCTAGACGGGCTTTTGATAACAATATCAAAGTTATAGTTTAATACTATATCAAGAAGAAACGTATGGCCAACACTTTTTATTATACTAGTATACTTCGTATATTTTTAAATAATTGTATTTACAATTACATAAGTACGGCTGTCCCGAGCATGGAGCATGTGCAGGGTTGTCAATTGCACAACGCCCCTAAGTAGAAGGAGCTTCAAAGTTTGATACAAAATGAAGAGATCGAAAACTTGTTGATCAATGATCTAATATTCAATTTTATAAAGTTACATCACGACATACTCAACTCCAAAAAACCTTTACTGCTTAAATACTTTGGTGAAGGACTCTAGCAGAGCTACACTCACTTTGCATCTGGCTGTCTTTCAGGTATAGAGGCTTGAAATTCCGGCATTGCTTCACATGATTCATACACCCTGCGTAATGTAGGATACTTCGACTGCACAAGCAATAACTCGTAAAATGTAAGCATTACACTGCCTAATTAGTGCATAGTCTAATAACTTGGAAATGAATTTAGTGAGTTACGTATCATCCTTGGAAATGAAAATAAATTACCATATCAGTCTTAAATCTGTCCATTGCTATAGAAATCTGTGGTGCCAGAAATACATCTGCCTGAAATTAAACAATATCAGTGCATATATACCTCACTTTGATATACTTATACGTTTTATTAGTCTCTGAATAATTCTTACATTACAAATTATACAGCTAAAGGAAACCTCCTGTTACATATCATACAAATCATTTGATAAAATATGATGTTTTTAACCCTCTTATATCTGATTACAGTATGTTATTTGCTTAAATAAAAAGGTTTAAGATAAAGGTCTTTGAAATATTTGACACTATACAAACCATGGATACTTCATCTCCGGTAGAATATCTTCCAGCAAAATCTTTTAGTAACTTTTCAAGAGCTGCAAGAACATATACAACACGTATTATTACTTCTGTTCCAGTATCTTAATCAAACAACATAGAATGAATCGCGCTAACAGACAGTTGTAGATGCAAGATTTGTTTTTCCCTATGCGAAAACTTAACCAAACAAATTGATCAGCAAAGCATACAAAGCTTTTAACTGATTGCATATAAGAAAAAGAACACTACTTACTAGAGAAACCCTTTTCAATAACAATTTGGGACCATGTTATACTCTCCTCTTGCCCAACTTTCTTCTCAATATCCTCCTATGAAGGATATTAGTGTCCCAACAACTAGTCAATATGTAGTGTATCGTAGAACACGTAATGCAGAGATAAGAAACATACCAGCACTGATTTCATGTGAAGTGGTTGCATGCTGCAGCTGACAATACTCGCAGCCTATGGCAGACATAAGCTTAAAATGTTAATACCAGATCACTTCTGTAAATACGGAAGTAAATTACAGTAAAAACTATATAAGAGCTAAAACCATAGTTTAATTTTCCTGAATCCTGTTGTAATTCGATCAACGTTCCTTTCAATTTGTCATGAAAACTCAAAAGGTGCTAGTAATCAGGATCTCACCTGAAGGTTGAGAGCTCGTCTACAAGGATCAGCCGGCAAAAGTTGATTCTGAGGATACTTATCTTCTAGGTACTAAACCAAAGATGACAAGCACAGACAATTATAAATGAAAAAGCCATAGTAATGTTGTCGAAGAAAGTTTGTGATTAAGCTAAGCCGGCTATGTTGGCTTGTATAATAACACAATTCATCCCGTGTATTGCACGAGCTAGAGAATGAACTAGTTACTGACCATAAGGATAGCCAACGAGTCTGAAACCACAACTCCATCATCAACAAGAACTGGAACATAACGAAGTGGGTTGATCTTCTCAAATTCTACAAGTCACATCATAACTGTTAAGATTGTACTATATATCTGTGATCCAAATTATTGCTAATAATCATATGTACGTACTATGAGAGTGAGGGATAGCTCAAGTGGTTAGAGCTTTCCTCCCGGTTCCAGGAGATCTTGGGATCAATTTTCACCTCGCCCCTGTGGCTCTCTAAACACCAAAAAAAAAAAAGTATGTACATACTATAATACTCCAGATGTGATGAAAACACACCGCGAATAATTACAACTTAGCTATTGTTGGAATGTAATAGAGCAAATAAGCAAGCGTTTATGTTAACAACAAATAACAGTCAGTATTATGTGTTAACATAACTTCTCAATTAAAAAAAGCGTGGAAAACTAAAATCACAGGAGTATTGATCAACTAAAAACACGAGATTATTTCGATTCCAGTGTTTCAAACTGATTTTAATTGAAAGCAATCATAATAAAATTTCCAACTTCACTACAAATGTTAATTAACATCCCACTAAAAACTACTACCTTCAATATATGTACATAAAACAACTAAATTGACCAAATTGAGAGCAGTACATTGGTTTTATTTAAGATTTAACGAGGCCTAAAACAGTTAGTTAAGTGGTCAGATAATAATCATAATATATAACGAAGACGAAGCAACAGCTTTTAGTCACCTGGATTAAATTGCTCCCCTTTGATAAGATCAACTGGTTTGTACTCATATTGAAGCCCTACAGTATGATCAAGCTCAAATTAGTCCAAAGTTATAATCAAAATTTGCAATAAATTGACTAAATTGAAAATGCTAAATAAGTAAAATGTTGGAGGAAAAAGAAAAACTGAGGAAAGCAAAGATTAAACCTTTTAAGTTTAAAGCAAATCGAACCCGCCACGAACAAGAACTTAGCCAAAAAGAGTAAAGCACCCTACTTGTTGATGCTGAAGATGAACATGATTCAGTAGCTTTCATCTTTGATGAAAAATATTTGATAAATTGTCAATAAAATTCCAAAAAAAAATACAAGTAAAAGAAAAGAAAAGTATATACTACTATTAAATGCAAAATTGCAAAACTTTGTGATCATTCAAAGGAAAGAGAAAGAGAGATTAAGAAAGTGGTGTGTAAATTAAAGGAAGTTGCAAGAGTAGCAATGGTGTCAGTATAAGTCAACTGTCAATTCTAAGATAACTACTAATCACACAAATACACTTAGATGGACACACAAAAAAAAAAAAAAAAAAAAAAAAAAAAAAAAAAAAAAAAAATTGAAAAGTGACATATGACAACAATCAATAATGATATTAGTTGGTAAATAAAAGACAACATTATGAGCATCGTAGTACTCCCTTCGTCTCACTAAAATTGTTTCATATAATCAATGTTAGAAATCTTTCAATCATGTTACAAAAATTGTCTTATATTAAATTGTACATTGAAGATTTTTTTTGAGAGAAATATCTTTTAAAAGAAATTGTATATGCAATGGAGATTTTCTTGACTGGTCTTTGAGATTTGATCAATTTTTTTTATTCAAATGTTAGGTATTTTATTGCAAAGATGCCAACCTGTTTTGTTAGGATAACTACAAAGTACAAACCTTTACATAAGTCAAGAATTTTTTATTTTTAAAAAAGAATCCTTAGATTTGACTTTTTATTGAGTAGCTAAAATAGATTGATCTTTGCTTGTGTAAAACTACGGATAATTAAAGAAATACATGAAGGCATGCATTTTTTATGAATACTTTGATTTTGAAGGGCTTGCTTGAAATGAGAGAGTTTGTTTTTAAATGTAATGTTTTTTTTTATCAAACTTTTATTTATTAGAATTTATATTTTTCAAACTTAATTGATATGATCTTATTTTAGTAATGTATGAAGGCATGTATTGTGTAAGAATACCTTTATTAGAGTTTGTTTTACAAAAAAACATATTACATTTAATTGAACCAAACGATTACCAAAACCCGCTCTATCTAATCTAAAAACCAACCAAGATCGGTCAATTTGTAAAACGGATTGAGTCAAATCAAAGGTATGGACCCTTGTATAGCTACACATAAATGTTGTAATCGTAATTAAAAATGCAAGAAAGTGCACATATAAATAAATAATTTTAATACATAAAAGCAAAAAAGTAGTTCAAAATGCCATAACCCGGAAGCAAAGGCACTACTACAACTTGGGCGGTCGGACCATGATCCACCAACCAACATCTAAGAACGTCCAACCAATCACAATACGAGTTTCTATATGTGGGACCCACTTCTTATGCTAAAGTTCTCATTTTAATTACTCTTTTAATAATTTCTTGACTCTTTGTGCACCAATAATAGCTTCCCACTCAAAATATCTCAAGCTGCCTTTTCTTTGTTCTTATTTTTTTTTTCCACTTAATAAATTTCATTTTCTAAATTTGGGAAAATTTTGCCAAAAATAAATACTCTTTATCTTTGTTTAATTATAGAAACAAAAATAATGGAGGCAGAGTTCATAACCAAGTATCACAAACAGCAGGAGATTGGAGCCAATCAATGTTCTTCTTCTGTCACTAAACGCATCAAAGCTCCTACTGATATTGTACTTTCTTTCTTTCTCTCTATTTTTTTTTATTATTAATTTATTAAATTTTTTGCTTTTGTTTGTTATATTTATTATTTTTTTCTGATTGATCATAATCTGTTTTTTTCTTTCTATATTGATGGTATAATAATTAAAGATAGGATTTTTATTTCATAGAACTATATATTATTACATGTAAATTGCAATTGTAGTATTTGTTCGTCCATATTTTTGTTGCATATATGTTATGTAAATTACTCAAAATTTTGGATTCCCTAAATTATTCATCAATGAAATGTTATCTTGAATGAAGCTGTTGTTTTTCCATCTGATTTGGAGCATTTTGGTATCCAAAATTTCTGCAAAGGTTATGGTTCTTGCAAACTCTTTGCCAAGTTTTAATCCATAAAAATAAGTTTGAATCCGTAATGTATTTTAATCAGTAAAAATCAGTATCGGTAAATATAATTTGATTTTAGTAAAAATCAGGCGAAGAGAAAATGACCATGCTTTATGCCGAGCTAAGAAGTAGAATAACACTCTGCTTGACTTTTGAAGACTATATTACAATCAAAATGCAAACTTGGTGGTTGAGGAGAGGAGAAAGATTTAAGAAAAAAGCCAAAAAAAAAGCCAAAAAAAAAAAAGGTTTACCTATAAAACAGGTTGTAGGTCATAGGGATTGTATGTCATAGGGGGTTAAAAGTGGGATTGTTTTGGAAAAAATTGAAGGTGGGATTATTTTTGGAAGACTGGGCAAAGGTGGGATTATTTGTTTCCATTTTTCTTAGATGATTCTGCATTCATTTGAGCTTAATGTGCAGAATCCTGGTTGTTGCATTTTGTGTTGTTGACAAAAATGGTGATACTGTTATCAGGTTTGGTCTTTAGTGAGAAGCTTTGATCAACCCCAGAAATACAAGCCATTTGTTAGTGAATGCATATCAAGAGGAGATTTTAAAGTTGGTACAGTTAGAGAAGTTAATGTTAGATCAGGACTTCCTGCAACCACCAGCACCGAAAGGTTGGAGCTTCTCGATGATGAGCATCGTATTTTTGGTGTCAGAATCATGGGTGGCGATCATAGATTAAGGGTATATCAACTTCTTTGTTCTTGAAACACATTGTTTGATTGTTTGAACATGATACTGAAACGACTATTATTGATCAAAATTGATTTTTACTGAGAAACAGAATTTTCTGATTCACTGATGTTTTCTCTTCTGCAGTTTTTACTGACAAAAATGATTTTTTTTTTTCTGATTGAAACTTATTTTTACAAGTTGTAGAAAATAAATACCTTACGATTATGATCATCCTGCTGGTTTGTCTACCTGCTAGATGTGATGTGGTAGAAGATTGTATTTGTATTAGGAAGGATTAGCAAAGAGGATAACATTATCATACTGTTTTCGCTGTAGAATTACTCATCAACAATAACAGTTCACCCAGAAATAATCGAAGGAAGGCCAGGAACATTAGTCATTGAATCATTCGTAGTCGATGTACCAGACGGAAACACCACAGAGGAGACCTATTACTTTGTTCAGTACCTTATCAACTGCAATCATAATTGCTTAGCTGATGTTTCTGAAAAGATTGCATTGCACACCAATAACTCTGGACAGACCAAACCCGTTGAATGGTAATTTTGGATCATTTGAAGTTTCGAGGAGGCTGCTTTAGACTTGATTCATCAATTCCGTTCAGTAGAAAATTATTGATTTGTTCTTTCTCATTTGAATTATGGAGTCAGTTTGTTTGATTACAACAGCTATTTCTCCAAAAAGTATGATTTATGATAAAAGGCTCTTTGGACTGCAATTGCTAGGTATTTTCATCCAAGTGTCCAACTTTTTCAGGGGACGTTGTGCTAATCGGCCAGATGATCATACTGTTAATTAATGCGATTAGAGCACTAAGAAGGATTGGTGACAGAACAAGGTAAAAGCAGTTCATAGCACAGTAAATAAAACTTCTCGAGTGGTTGTTTGATTAGATGAAGAAATAAATCACTTCGCAGCTCCCATAATGTTGTAATCCCTTGGATATTATTTCAAGGGAAATGTCCAAATTTGTGGGAGAAATTTTCCCACAAAGTTTCAAGTACAAATCTATAGGATGTTGTGCGCGGCTAAACGTGTACATCCAGTGTTTTTGTCAACCAAATAACATGAGTATGAGATTTCCCCTTACCAGAAGAATCATCAACTTCAAAATATAAATATATGACCACCAAACCATCTTAAAGATTTCAGTTAACTTAGATTAGCAACTTGGTGTTTGGGTATATATGAACCCTACCAAGTCGTCTTCAAAGTCCATGGAGTAGGCACAACTGCACATATAGCTTGACTAAGATATGAGTTAGCTCATTAACCCTCAATTTTGCATTATAACTGAAAAAGGTTGTGAGAACTGTTAACAGTCTGAAAACAAGAAGAGAGAAAACTGCAAGTAGCTCAATTTAACAGATTCGATTTCTCATCAGGTCTGCTAGTTTTGATATAAATAAAACGTACTTCTACCCTGCTATTGAGAACCAACATGCTGATTCGATACAGACAAGTGTAACATCGAGAAACTAATACTAGATCAAGGAAACCATCCTGTATTTATAATAAACCCAGAAAAGGAAGCAAAAACGCCTTTTGTGAGCCTGTGAATCTGTGTACTGCTGCTCTACCACAGTTAAGACACATTCAGCATGGTTAAGTGGGAGCAAAGTTTGCAACTTCTAATGCCTCTCGTATTTTTTGGTCTAGAACATGTGCATCATTAATCGAATTACTACGTAGAATTTGATTTCCTAAATCCGAAGACATTTTTTTGCTGATATCTTCCTGAATCAGAGATGATTAGAAATTGACATGAACAAAGGAACAACTTCACAAAAGCTCTACCCACCCGTCAATCTGTCATTTAGTCGCCAGCCTCAATACTATTGTTAATTGGACAAACTTTCAATTTCACTCCATGTTTGATGAAAATTTTCAGAAAATAAGAGGTTTTAGGTAAGTATACAAAACCATCAGCTTTAGTATTCTGGCAAAAATTCAACAAGATTTCAAAAGACATTCCACAGAAATCTTGCAGGTAGCCTGGTAGACATAATCATATACTTCGTATTAAACAAAAGCAGTACACCAATTACATATCGGACTCAGAATTACATTTTACACCATCAAGAAGAGATGTATCTCTACAGTTATGATGGAAGCATCTCCCTTCCTCTTAAACTTACCTAGTCTATTGTAGATAAAGAGGAGCAAGCTTGAACTGTAGTCACACTACCTCAGTGTACTCTTTCCTAAAGGAAGGATCCTGTGAGCTAGGCAAAGAACTGCTGAAACCAGCAGCAGCAAGAGATTGAAAGGTTGAAGGATCACAGTAACGAACTTAAACACTTGTCTCCCTCACCAACGTTCCCTAGGTCGGCCATCAGGGAAAACAGGGACACGCTCGTCACCATTCAGTGGCTCAGGATCAAACTGCTCCTCTGATTTGCTTGCCTTGACCCTTGTGTTATCATTGTCATCATCAAATTCAGGGGGAGTATCATCTTCATCAGTCCAAGAATCTTCATAATCTTCATTATCACTGTCGTTTTCATCTTCTTCATCATCACCAAACTCATCACTAGCAACATTATCAAAATCAGACCACTCTCCATCATCTCCTTCACTAAGTTCATCTTGCTGCTTGGTAGCTTCTTCTGTTTCATCCTCACTCCTTCGAGCACCTTTACTTCGTAATCGAGATTCATTAACAAGGGCCCGCATCTTCTCCTTGACAAGTAGCAGCCTGTCCTTGTCAACCAAGTTGGAACCTCGATATGCCTCACGAAGGAATATCGAGTCCCTATCTCCTTTAAGGGACACATAAAACATATCAGGATGTCTAATCAGCATCCCTCTCAACTGTTGTGAGAACCGAAATTCCTCCCGGAAATGAGTCAAGTGGTCAACAAGAGTCCTCTTCTCAACAGTGAGGCTCAAAATCTCATGAACAACTGCACAAGCATGCTTCTCTTTCTCTGGTGTACCAGGTGATAAATGTGAAAAATCCGAATACGGAGATATATAAGGCATGTCTCTAAACTGACAAATCCTTCTCATCTCATTCTTGGACAGTTTCAAACCCTTAGGTAGCTCCACCCTATTGAACTTCAAAGGCCTATCTATAATCAAATTCTTTGATTCCAACTCTCTAGCACGATTTTCCTCTTCATCCATCTCAGCAGCTGAAACCGCGAGCTCAGGGTCCCAATGAGTCAATTCCAAAGCCGGACCTCTATCAGTTGGGACAACCTTAAAGTACTGTGGATATCTATGACAAACTGTGTCCCTGAACTCCAAAGGAAGCCCAAGATCAGTCCTCAAATGGCCAATCTTTTCTACCAAAACCCGCTTTTCCAACGACATCATCAACAACTTCCTCAACTTAACAACCAACAATGACTCCATTTCATTCCTAATCTTCAACTCCTCAAGATACAACCTCTCAGCCTCAGGGGTCAATTTAAGATTAAGCATGTATGCCCCTTCTTCCTCAATCTCAAAGACACTAGGGAACTTCTTTAGCAAGGCGATAAACCGCCTTCCTCGCTGTAATCCCAACACTCTCCTATGCTTGCCCAATTCTCTAAGAGGCATAGTTCTATTAGGGTGACTCACTAAAATCTTCCTAATTTTCAATACCAATTTCAGTTTCTTATCTCTTTGAACAACATTATCAAACGGAAGTTCTTTCCTTCTCTTAACAACAGCTCTAATTGGGCAAATTGGGACATGGGTTTTCCTATTTCTGCAAAACCCAAATTCATCTTGCCCTAAAATTAAACTTTGGCCCAAAAAAGATGAACTAAGCGATGATTTCACAGAGGAATAAAAATGGGGTTTTGGGATAAAGATGGGATTTTTAGGGATAGTGGTTTTGCAGGATAGAAACAGTGGTATTTGAACGGATTGGGTGGTTTTGAGTGAAGGGGAAAACAGCTTAGAGTCCATTAAAAATGGCGGTTCAATATCAACAGGATATATATCAATTAATACATTTGAATAAAATTGAGGAAATAAATTGAGATAAGATTATAAGAAACTTACCGGAAGAATTTTGCTCCCTTTTGATTTATTCTGGGGTATTTTTTTATGGATTTTGATATGAAGGAGAAATTGAGGGTTTTGGAAGGCTAAAACCTCAGTTCTTCCTATGAACAGCCAAGTTATCTAAAATCTACACTTTACAACGATACGGAGTATTTTAGTTGATCCGCAATAGTAGAGTAACTCAATAGAACCGCCTGGGTGTCAATTCGGATGAGCAGGTCGAGTTTAAGTCAAAATTGAGCTTAATTTAAATTTGAGTCATTTTAAATTATTATTTTTATACTTTATACAAGTCAAAATCTATTTATTTATTTATTTTTTTAAGGTCAGAGTTAGTTTTTGACAACTCTAAGTAGATGCCCTTTGGTTGAGCTTCCTTACCCTTTTTCACACTAATTGTAAACGTATAGCCTGTGATAATCCAGTTTTGTGATAAAAAAAGTTCTAGGTTTTGTATTGATGATAATTATTAATATATTGCGTGATAGCTCTATTCTGCTAATAAATTATGGTCAATGTCTAGATGATGAAAATTTGTACTATACTTGTTCGATTAATTCAATTGATTTGTGAGTATGTAATTGTATGTAAATTATTATGGAATACTTTGTAAGGAAAAATTATTAGTTTTAACTTTTAAGTCAAGGAAAATCAGCATACTAAGTAAAACATAATGCCATGGTAGAATTTGATATTACTCTAAAATAATTAACATACAATTACCTTGATACAATTGCTCAAAAAAAATAAATTACCTCGATATAAAATAAGAGTTTTCCATGACTGGATTATGTTCTATTACCTCGATACAATTGTTCAAGAGCAGCAGCGGCATATGGCATTCCATGACTGGATTATGTTCAATTTGGATGAGAAAAGAGAAAGAAATTGCACTGATTCGCCTTTTATATTTGCGGTTACTTGCTGGTGGCTTTGGAGGTGGAGAAACGAGCGAAGTTTTTCTCGGGAAAACGATATCCCACTAGATCAAGCAGCCTTTATTCTCACCAGAGTAGGAGAAATCATAAGAGCTTATGACAAAGCCAGCCAGCAAGCAAGGTCCTGTGAAAAGAAAACGCGAAGACATTTTTGTGCGATGGGAGTATTCTCCAGTAGGTTGGGTATGCTTAAATACAAATGGTGCCGCTAAGGGCAATCCCGGAGCAGCAGGAGCAGGAGGAATCATTCGAGGACATGGAGGTACAATTCATGAAATTTTTGCTTCTAATTGTGGCATTTGTACGTGTACCCGGGCAGAGCTGCTGGCTATTCTTAGAGGGTTGGCGATTGCTTGGAATGCTGGGCATCGCAACGTACAATTAAGGGTGGATTCTGAAGTTGTGCTTCGAATGTTAGTGGAAGAATAGCCTACTAACTCTCCTTTTGTTCATTTAATTCGAAAGTGTAAGTCTCTAATCAAGTGTCATGGTTGGGATATCACGATCGAGCATTGCTTATTTGCTAACGGGAAGCCAACAGAGTCGCGGATTGGCATGGTCGGCAAATTTTGGTGTTTTATCGGAGCAAAAAATGGTCATCTTTGGGGCAGTCCTGGTGGACCTTCGAATCGTTTTATTGAAGGATTTGCGTGGTATGGCTCTTCCTAGAAGGGTTTCGGAAAATAAGTAGTAGTTGTTGTTTCTTTTCTAGTAGTAGCCGTAGCTAGTTGTTTCTTTTTCTGTTGTTTGCTTTCTTTTTAGTTTGTTTTCTTGTTCTTCTTTGAGGCTTGCCCCTCGGCTTCACCCAAAAAAAAAAAAATCTATATTTTATACATAATGGAGTAGATAAAACACACCCTTTAATATGAGAGTCCAATGGACTTAAGTATAGATGCGATATGGGCCTCTCATATCCAATGCAATATTAATTATTTATATATTCCATCAAAACTACTTTCTGCTTGACTATTTACCATACAACTAGTTTGTGGCCCGGACGATGTCCCGGGTTTTAGATATAGAGTGAAAAAATCATCTCAAGTTTGAATAACATTACATTAAGTTTAAAATTAAATTTTAAAAATGGAAAAAAAAAATATGGGAATAGAAAGAGAAATACAATAGTATAATTGTAAATGCTACTCTATCTAATTGCTAAGCCAGTATTGAATCTAGAAAATTAGCATCTAAGGAATCAACAACCATTAGTATGTGATTAATTTCTTGCAAATTAAATGTAGTTTATTGTGCAATTACTTAGAGGTTACATTATTCTAGGGAAAAATTAATTACGAAGGTTACACATGCATATAAAGAGTTTTAGAGTAATGACACGCAAGGTTGACACAAAGCAATGATATGGCGCCAAATCATATCAAGGGAGTTGTGACACATGACAATAGCATGTTGTCCCATTATGTTTTAATAATATTATAGATTACCATATGAAGAATTGATATTAGAAGGAAAGCATAATAAACGAATATAATCATATCTATCTTTTTTGTTTTTCCATATGCTAAGTGATCTACCTTGCAAAATAATATATACGTGTATATTTCTAATTGATGTAAAAATAACATCAAAGCTTAAGGATTTTTATTTGACTTCTATACACTCCTATATAGTCCTATATCTATCAAGTTAACTAGTTGACTCATGATAAAATTTTTTTGAATAAACTCATGATAATTTTTAGTAGGCCAGATTCACAGTTATCTATAACTAATTAACTGATAGGATTATTTTAGGTTTCCTCAAAAATAATAAGATTATACGGAGTACTATATGTATTGCTCTATTAGGGTTATTCTTCACGTAGTTAAACTAAAGAATAAAGAGTCGATTTCCTTGATCTCCATTGTTTCAAATCTACAATGGCGAAAAAACTCAAGGATATTCTACATAGCATTATGGCTTTGTTAGGATGCGCGTCTTATGATCATGAAAAGCGAGGAAACGATACCAAGAGAAAAACTACATTGTCTTCAAAATCCGAGGAAGAAACATCAAAATCCGAGGAAGAAACAAAGAACGAATCAAAATCAGAGAAAGAATCAAAAACAAAGATTTCATCGTCATCTTCATCATCATCTTCATCGTCGTCGTCATGGTTAACAAAGAAGATGCCACAACCTACACTACGTCGTTCAAATTCTACTTCTTTCTAAGCTAATTATGTGTTTCAATTGTTTATCGATTTGTTGTCGTTCTACCCTTCTACGTACTTTCTAATATAAGATAATTTGACTTCATTCTAAGATTGTATCTTTCAATTTGTTATTATATTATTCGTCACTTTTTTTGTTGTTATTAGTTTAAATTGCTGTAAGTATTTGTTATTGATTTGATGTATTCACCCACCCTTCTCTCAAAGAAGTTCGCCTTTCCCCTGCATAAGTTATGGCAAATCAAAATTCGAAGTATAAGCCGTATAAACACTAAACAAGTGCTCAGAATATATTACAAGCACACTTTTATTCCATGATCTTGATTTAAAAAGGACTTGTGATTATATAATTGCCCCCACAATTTCCAAGTACATAACATGTCTCGATCAATGTTACAACACATTGTCTCTTATTCTAAACTAAATTATCCGTATATACCAAGAACACTAAACGATTGAATTTTACGTGTTAATTTTAAATTTTTACTAGTTGATCGATAGAGATTATTATTTAGCAGACTATGCCTATAAGGAAAACCTATTTGATCCCACATGCCAGTATGATGCAAATCTTTCTATTAGGTCGAATAAACATACCGGTGCAAATTAATATCATGCCCTTTCGATAAGTTTAATTTAGCATATGTTCATAGTATATATATATATATGATCTTTATATTCTTGATTTTGTAATTATTAAAATTAAATACTCCCTCCGTTCAAAGTTCGACTCTACTTTGCAATAGCGCGGTCTCCAATGAACATGTTTAACTAGGAATAACTCTATCAATATATAATAACTAATTAATACAAATCTGATGACCTCTCATTTGTTTTATATTTTTTTATTTTTTTATTTTGAACATTAGCATACAAATTAGATCAATTTAATGGTGAGCTGCAACGTGTACCATTTGAAATTACATATTCTCACAATGATTGGTTTAGCTTGCAAAAAAATAAAAATAAAAATTAAATTGATATACACTGACACACTATGAGCCGACAACCTTAAGCAAGTACTCCCTCCGTCCCCGAATGATAGTCACTTTTGGGTGAAAATCACGGGAATTAAGGAGAAATAAATAAAGTACATGGGAACTAAAACCCAATCATTTGCAAACACAAAAAGAAGAGAGAGAAACTCATTGTCATTAAAAAGGGAGACAACTCATTCAATTAAGGCACAAGTACAAAGGCAAATATGAGGGTATTTTGGGAAGCACAGATAATACATCCAAAAAAAATGAGGGTATATAGGTCATTTTGTGTTATTGTATGGGACCTAAAATTGTGAAATGTGACTAACATTTTGGGTGTCCAAAAATGGAAATAGTGACTATCATTCGGGGACGGAGGGAGTAGCAAGTAGGAGGATTTCTCACGGTCTAGGAACTTTGGTCCAAATGGACTCTAGGGAAGGGTAGAAAAATAATTGGCTTTTTTATTGAAGAGAAAAAGTTAAGTGGTGGATCCCTTGTTCTGATCTTGTCTGCCAGAGCAAATTGTCGAAATTAAAGTGGTGGACCCCCCTCCTGAATATTGTCGGCTGGAGTATCAATTCATTTACGTCAGAAAAAGTACATTCGAATATATACCAACAGGGCATGATACCATACCAATCAGATAGGTATTGATACCATACCACCAAGGACGGGGTAGTACAATTTTTGAACATAATTAGTGTAAACCACTACAATAATTCTTATAAAATCAAGACAACATAACAAGTGTTACATAATAACATAATAAGTAGTCTTGCACAAGAACATAATAAGTAGTCTTGCACAAGAACATAATAAGTCTTAAATAATATGTCATAAACAATAACATAATCAAGAGAGCATAAAAAGTCTTACACAATAATTCGGAAGCATAAAATTTAATTAACTATTACCATCCATTACAAGTAGTCGAATGCCGAAGGGTGGATAATCAAAGGTTTCCATTCTCCAAATATTCAAAGAGATGCGCAACGTGGCTGCATAGAATACACGAAGGCTTAACATTAGATGATACCAATTGAATGAACCATTTAAGTAAACCCATATTAACGTACATGTTAATCTGTTTATTAGTATTATTAGCAGAGATAGATATACCAACAGTAAGTAAACTCATACCAATTGAATGAACCGTTTAAGTAAACCCATACCAACGTACATGTTAATCTGTTTATCGGTATTATTAACAGAGATAGATATACCAACAGTAAGTAAACTCATACCAACGTAAATATTAATAAGTATAATCGTATTATTAACAGAGTAGTTATACTTAACTCCACAAAAAATTAGAAGCTGGAAAATTCTGAAAAATAAAGTGCACTAACCTCTTCAACTCGACTACCACTATCATCGCTCCAACCATCAACACAAAGCATCTTCGTTCAATTACAGCTATGGCAAA